AAAAAAAGCTGTGAACGCCCGTCCGCTGGCGGAGGCTCTCCAGGAACAAGCGGGAGCTGCGAGTGCTCGCGTGTGCCCAACGGGTAGCCGTGCTCCGCTGTGCCAACTCCACTTTCAATCCACTTCATCTCCGCAGGTTGTTGTGTCGACCACAGTCAACGTGGACGGCCACGTGCTGGCCGTGTCCGACAACATGTTTGTGCACAACAACTCCAAACACGGGCGGCGGGCCCGCCGCCTAGACCCGTCAGAAGGTACGGCCCCTTCTTATCTGGAAAATGGTAGGCACATGTTACATGTCTTTTTTTATTTGCGACGCTTCTTTTTCTTTGCACCATCCTTTATGTTGATTCATGCCCAGTGACTGACCCCAGCCCCCCTTTGCTGGTCAGGCCCCCTCCCCCCCGGGCCGGGGCAGGGCCTGGGTGGGACCCAGTGGTCCGGGCCGGGGTCCTCTCCGGCCTCTCCGGCCTGACCCGTACTGAGGGCTCAGCTTCCCCACTCACCTCACCCACCACGGCCTTCACTGCATTGGTTTGTTTGTTTCTAAGATTTCTTTTGCTTAGAGCATTTCTTGGAATTTTATTTGGTTTTATTTTGGCTTGTCCTAAGCCCCCATCCAGAAGGTCATCTTCAGATACTTTGTGCATGTTTGGGTGGGTGGTTATGTCCTGGTCCCGTCAGCCCAGGATGGGATGGATGGATGGATGGAGGGAGGGAGGGAGGGAGAGAGGGAGAGAGAGTCAGAGTCACTCATGGGCGCGGGGTGGAGGGGGTAAGAAAAAATGGTAAAAGGTGTTTTGTACCAAATGCTTTCACGTGACTTCTTGTTTTGCTTGTTAAAAGAGACGAATTTTGTTAAGAGAGACAGGCAGGGACAAGTGCTCTCGGGCACTGAGTCAGAACTCAGAAACTCCGGTACAGTGCCCTTGCCAAGCCCCTCACTCGCGCCCTGCCGCGTGCCTGCGCTCTGGCCCCCGCGATAGATCACGTCCCCTTTAAAATAAGATCTTTTTTTCTCTATAAAGCATTTTGTAGTAATCGAGTCTGACCAATACGAGTTGTTGAGAAAGTAATGCGAGTTATTTTTTAAAAAGTGAGTTGTAAACAAAACAGCTCGAGTCAATCCTTTAGAGCAACGAGCCCATCACACCGAGTGGTTTTAAGACAAACCCTGCGTGGTCCCCGATTCAGGAGCCGCACTCGAGGCAGCAGACCCGTTCCAGGGGTGATCCGAATGAAGTATGACTCAGACAGGAGCACTGGAGGACCGTGTATGAATCTGCTGTGGTCCACAAAAATAAACTCATTTGTTTTTCTACATTAATGACTAAGGTATAAGAGAACAAAAATATAATAATTAAAGGTCGCCCTGGGCGCCAGAGTCGTTAGAATCCGTGACGTACTGTTTATCTCCTGCCTGTGCACCGAAGGTAGGTGTGTGTTTGCCTAGCAACCGTCACTAATGAGGCTCACAATTAAGAAGGTTGAATCCCGGTCCTCGGTCCCGCTTCCCCAGAGAGCCGGAGCCCGCAACGCGATAGGTTCAAGGGGGCCCCTCAGCCCTCTGGTGTTGGGTTGTAGTCTGGGCCCCAAACCAGCCTCCTCTAATGAGCTATTATGATCTGAGCAAAGTACAAGTGTTTATTTTTGTAAGTAGCGTGAAAAAGCATTTGACTGTAAGCAGAAAATACAGCATTTAGGAAAATAAAGGCCGCTAGCGGGTACCTTGGAGAGAAAACCCAACTAATCAAAAGCTATTTGCGGAAGAGTCTTGATCAAAATTTTTTAAAAAAAATGTTTGTTTCTCTCTTTTGTTTTGAAATCAACGTTTGAACCAAGTCACTTTCTTACAAAGGGATTGAAATACCTTGTTCCACCCCAGAAAGTGACTCATCCTTTTAAGATGCAGAGAGGTGACAGAGAAACCAGCATGTATAGGTCTTTGAGAGAAAGGCCTAAACAGTCAGGTCTCAGCTTGCTTTTTTGTGTGTTTTGTAACAAATGTCCGATCCTCGAGTGCCCTGCAAAACACGGCAGGGTCCTCTCTAGGACAAGAGACGTGCCCCAAGTTTCTGTTGCTTCCGGAGAGAGCGGGCACTTAGGATGTTCATTTTGGGGCCTGGCCACCTCGCTCCCAAACCCGTTTACCCCCCCGCCTGGTCAGGACACATCGCAGGGGCGGGGTGTCGGCTCCGAGTCAGTCCCACAGCCTTGAAGGAAAGTGCCCCCATAAACCGCAGATTCGCCCGTGTGCAACCTCTCCCGGCGAAGACCTCATTATCCAATCAGCTAATATTCACCAGCCGTGTACGCGCCCGCCGACGGTTTCCAAGTAAACGAATTCCCCCTGCTGTCGCCGTGGACGCCTGCCACGGCGTCCTCCGCGCTCACAGAAAGCAGGGCAGATTATTTACAGTACTGAACACAGGCGAGGGGAAAACAACCGTCTACCTTCCAGCGCGGCCCAGCAGAACGCACGCAGCCTTTCGGTTTTTTTTTCCTTTCTTGTCACTTGTCCCCTCATAAACGGCTCCAACCCTGTTTAAACCTCCCCGAGCCCTGCCCAGCACCCGGCCTGCAGCGCACGGCGATTTGCATGCCAAGCGCCGTAATGCGGTTAGGTTTATGCAATAAGGAGGCCGAATCCAGGCTGTGGGGCTTTAGCGAGTTAAGGGGAACAGATGGCCCTAGGAGAGGTAAAAGGTATAATCCTATCAGCTGGAGTATCAGCCAGCCATCTGGACATCCCAAGCACAATTACAAGACATTTTAGCAGGCAGAACAAAGGAGTCTTCATGAGGCAAGATTAGGCCTGTTTGAGTGCCTCAATATTGTGAATGCAGGGGAAGGTGACAAATGCCGTGATATTACTCAGGAGAGCCGGCTGATTAACGGGGACCGGGCTGGGCTGCTGATGAGCAGAACCCTGGATATGGTAGAGAGACCCCCAAAAGAAAAGAAAGGCAAACATCGAGTGTTCTGGTCAACCACACTGGCGGGGGGGGGG